AATATCGTTGTTACGGAGTGCATATTACGGCTGTGGGTAACAAATACAACAAATCGGATGAACAATATATATGGGAGCTATAGCTATATCTGAACCGATATTCACCAAATCGGACGAAGTTATATATGGGAGCTATATGTACTTCCTTCTAAGCTGGTTTCGGTCGGATTTGCCAAAATTGATGCTATTACGGCCATTTGGTGCACAATTAACCCGAAATCGGATGAAGATATATATGGGAGCTATATCCAAATCTGAACCGATTTCGATAAAATTACAAACAGCTATTTCTGGGCTGTATTTTTTATCTGGTACCAAATATCATTCTTGTGGAGTGCATATTACGAATGTGAGAGGCTTAAACAGCAAATCGGATAAAACATATATATGGGAGCTATAGCTGTTTCTGAACCGATTTTCTCCAAATTTGCTGTATTTGCTTTAAGGCAAATACCGGTCACATGTGCCAAAATTCGGTCCATTTGGGCTGATATTGGCCATTTGGTGGCCAATTAACCCGAAATCGAATGAAAATATATATGGAAGCTATATCCAAATCTGAACCGATTTCGATAAAATTTAAAACAGCTATTTCTGTGCCCCATCTAATACCTGGCACCAAATATCACGGTTGTGGAGTGCATAGTAGGAATGTGAGGGACTTAAAGATCAAATCGGATGAAAGATATATAAATTTGATATACTTGCTTCTACGCCAAACTCGGTTGGGTGTGCCAAAATTCAGGTAATTTGGACTGATAGTGGACATTTGGTGCACATTTAACCCGAAATCGGATGAAGATATATATGGGAGCTATATCTAAATTTGATCCGATTCTCACCAATTTCAATAGGGTTCATCCTTGTTTGGAAAATTTCATCTCAATCGGATAATAAATGCGACCTGCATTTTGTTCACAAGAATACATGGACAGACGGACAGACGGACTGACATGCATAAATCGACTCAGAAAGTGATCCTATGAAGGTTCTCAAAAGTAACTATCGGTCTATCTCGTTTCCTTCTCCATGTTACAAAAAAATGCACAAAGACATAATACCCTTACCACTATGTGGTGTAGGGTATAAAAATATATACCCTCCATAGTTTGGTGGGGGTATTAAAAACTGAAAGAAATTATAAAAATCAAAATAGTCGATAATTATAATCGAGATAATTATTTAAAACAGTAATGCATTTTTATTAGTACTACTTTTGTATTATACACATATAAATGAAAGAGAAACCTACATCCACTGATATATATAATTATATAAACGGACATTTAAAAATTGTTTATAGAGCTAGACATTTAGCGATTTCAGTATTTTGAGTAGTAAAATGTTATACATTTTAAAATAGTAAAAATATATAAAATGAATGTTGAAAATCTTATTTTGAAAAACAGTGTTTTTTGTCGTTATCGAAATATTTTTACATATTTTAAGGATAAATACAAAATTTTTTACAAATAATTTTATTTGGATTTCTTTAATACCATAAATTTTTGCGACTTTTGAAAAAGTTCTTGGCATGAGGAGCAAATCTATGTTGCCACTTTCATTCATCTGCTTCTTTCGAATTAATGGAGATTTATATAGTAATACCATTCTTTTTATTGAAAATCATATTCGTCTTCTTGAACCTTGACAGGAAAGGCTCTGAGGGTCTTCTTACTTTTTCTTTCGATACCTGATCCACCCATGTGAAGTAGTTTGAGTGACTTTAGGATTATATATCCTGAAATGCATCATCTTGGAAAATACCAATGGCCTCCAAAACCATTTCATCTATTTCCGCCACCTTTGAGTTTTCAATCACGATCAAATTTTCAAATTGATCCTCACACCCATTTTCACTGATATCAATTCATTCAGTTCGATCAACATCGACGTTGCCTGTTCCCGAAAGCATTTCCGTATTGCGCGTTAAAATTCAAAGAATTATTCACGTTTTTAATTTAATAGACGACTAATAATTACTCACCCAATATGTATTTTCTGATGTGAAATTTGAAGTCCTGTAGTACGATAGGGTCGTAAAAAATTTATTGACTCAAAAAAAAAAACGTTTTGATTCAGGCGCCTTGTTAAAACATACTCTAATTTGCAATTCTGTAAGTAGTCGTACAACCTTTCTGGAAGATTTCAAGTCGGGATTTGTTGGGCGCGATTGAGCTACTCATAACTTGGTTCATTCTTTCTAACATTATTTGTCTGTGTTTCAATGATCTTGCCACAAGGTTCTAACAGTAAAGGGTTTTGTATTCCATCATACGCTTTAAAGATACAACAAGAGGAGCTATGGATATCGAACCAATCATTTATTAATTGAATTAAATCAGCCATATCTATTGCATTATAACACCTTTTTATAGCATTTGAGGTTGTGTTAGGGAAAAGTTTACTCCCTAATTTCACTTTTTGTCTTCCTTTGGGGGACGTTTCAGAAGGAGTGAGCCGATATTACCCATCTACTTTGACAGAGAGATGGATATAATGAAACGTAATGACTTGGTAGGACCCCATGTCATGTTTTTTCTATGAGGTATTGTCAATTGACATTCTTCGTTTATAGTATTACTCTTATTGAGTTTCCTGGTCTTTTGATATTTTGGGGTTTTGACCTGCAATATTGCCATTATATTCATCTAGAACTATATTTTCATTATACCTTACAACACTATGTGTAAGGGTATTATAAGTTTGATTGGGCCAAAAATTATGTAACACCACGAAATATTAGTTTCCCACATAGGATCTTCCTAGCTCGCCGAGTTGAGTCGATCTAGCTATGTATGTCCGTCCGTCTGTCCATGTTAATTTGTAATCACTCTACAGGTCGCAATTATGGCCCGATCTTCACGAAATTTAGAATGGAGGTGGGGCTAGGGTAAAAATAGAACCCTATTTCTTTTGGAGATGATCGCATAATATTTAGGGGTTGAAATGGACCAAAAACTGAAAAAAATTCTTGATTTTGTAGTTGCTCTACAGGTCGTAATTATAGACCAACCAAAGCGAAAGTTAGTATGGGGCTAGAGCTTAGGGCTGGGCAGAAGTCTTCCAATTTTGATGGTCATCGGGTAATATTTAGTGGGTGAAATAGGCCACAATATTTGTGTTAAATAAAAGTCAAATTTTCTATTAAACCGCGAATATTTTTAATCCTGGCGAAATCACAAATAGACGAACAGGTCAATTCTAACCGTTACGTAGATGCCGATAGTAAATATATCGGATATATACAGCGAAATATATACAGTGTGTATATACAAAGTAAGGGGATGTTAGTTAGAATGCTTATATCTCAAGAACGGCTGGACCGATTTTGACAAATTTTGTCAATTCAGAATGCCCTCTTGACATAAAAGTGTAAAATCTAAAAAAATCGCAGAAAAATATGCCAATAATGATGTTAATATAGATTTTGTAGTATTTTGTGACATTTTTTTCATTTTTTCATATTTTTTATAGCATGCGATTTTTTTAATTTGACTTATAATATTTTTTAATATTTTTTCACCTTAAAACACAGGTTGGGATTATTATATAAGGATTGCAAATGTCGTCCGATCCTCACGAAAATTTTCACAAGCGTAGGGTTGGGCTCAGAAGGGCTAGGTCCATTGTTTTGAAATATGTCCGCAATATATTTGGGGTTGAAATGGACCAACAACTAAAAATTTTCCTGATTTTGCAGTGAAATTTTTTTTTTTAATTTTGTGTGAAAAAATTTCAGCATTACTTACAGGCGATATCCGAAATACGCAAAAGGCGAACACCTGGCTTTTTTATGCTGGTTTCGTTGACGAATATAACCAAATATCGTAGACAAGCAAATCATATAGATGAGTCTCAATTTTGAGATACGGAGGGGCTTCTTGCTTTCGGAGATGATTGCAAAATATTTAGGGGTTCATATTAACCAAAAACAGAAATGTTTTTCCGATCACACAATTGAAGCCAATCGACACGCCTGTGAAGAGAGTTAAGGACAGGGAAGAATTTTATCATTTTGGATGACCATTGGATTATATTTAGCTGTAAAATGGACTACAACAACTAACCGCACGACGGAGTGCTTAAATATTGGGCAAATGTCCCTAGTCAAAATCCTAATTTATAATTCCAATATGGATTTGGACATAAGGGGGCTTCTAACATATTGTAGTGTTGTAGGGTATTACATAGTCGGCCCCGCACGACTATAGCCTTTGCTTACTTGTTTTTTTTTATTAATAATAATCTAATTTTGGGCATTTAATTGTGTATCGCAGGTTTCATATTTCTTTGACTGTAACTAACGATTCTTGGTATTTTGGGTTTTTTCATTTTTCGATGGAATTGTTTCAAATTTCGTATTTGGAGTTTATGTTGGGTACCACTTGTGCGACAGAAAATTACCTTAACAGGTCCTCATTTTCGCATATCTCTCATATTCGTATATCTTCCGATATTCGGTACTTTGCCGATTTAAGCCACATTTTTCAACGGAATTATCTCAAAATAGGTATTTGGATAAGCATTGCCTTCTTCTTTGCCTGATAATTGGATTTACAGTCTACGTTAACTGTACCTGTATTCGATATTAATATAAGAAAATATACCTAAAGTTAGACCGAAATTTTCTAGTTATTCGAAATTTACAGTTCGTTTACACTTTACTGGATTTAATAAACCCAGTGAATTTATGTTGCAAATTGCATATACTTCAAACAAATCCTTATAAAGGAGTATAACCTGGCAAAAATCTGTAATGTAAACAAACTATTAAGCATATAAATATTTTATATTACGTCATCGTGCTAAACAATTGTATCTTCATATCTCAAGATATAACAAGAGTATTAATGAATGTGGTTTTACATCGAATTATGAAAAAATACTGTCCTATATCTGCTTAAAAAACCTCAAGAGCAAGACCACTTATGACTCACCTTAAAAATTATTATTGCAGAATCTATTATACTTATAATCTCAGTATTGACTTGCTCTTGGGCAAATAATCAATTGGCATTGTAAACACGAAAATATACTGTGAGAAAAATGTGTTCACTGCCCGGTTTTGGACTATTTATTGGTTATGGCACCCTGATCTTGTACAGCATTATTCTAATTGTATCCATTGGCCTATTGGCCGATAAAAAATTGGTAGATGGAATTGTCGACGATATAGCTGACAAGGAGAATGATGTGAACATTTATGCAAGTATGCGATACATTTAAATGTGTGTGAAACAAAATTGAATGTCCAGCGAAATAATAACCTCTTCTTTTTATCACCATTATTGTGATAAATCTCACTTCTTAAACAACATATTTTCGCCTTTTTATATTGTAAAAATAATTGATTGTGTCTCTTTCAGCAACGATTGCCATCCGCTTTGCAATTGTCTTTACCATGATCGTGGGAGTTATAATGATTATTGTATCGGCCTATCTTATTAAGGGTATTGACAAGGTATGAATGCTTAATGTTTATATTGAGGATACATATGCAGCTTGGTATTGTCGCAAGGGATATCTAATGAAACTTTATATGACTGCAAGCTGCTGCTTATATATCCCCACCTTTAGCAAATAATGTTCTCAAAACTACGGCAATTTTACTGGACGGAGATATTTCTTGCCACTTTCTTTACTGACCACTGTTTTTTCATAGAAACGACCCATGCCTTTGATACCCTGGCTGCTGATAACATTCATTTGTATAGTCGGATGCCTAATTTATAATTTTGTCGTATTATTGACCTCTGAAAATCCCGCTCAAGAGTTTGTTGTGGGAATGTCTATTGTTGGTAAGTTAGAATTGAAAAAATGTATAGTTTTCATTTTGGGTCTTAAATAAGTTGCTGTTATTTTTACATTTTATTACAGTTTTACAATGTGCCATATTCTATCCAATATACACTCTCTATCGAAAAATGCGAAAAGAAAAATTTCCAGCACCAGTGGATAGTATCTAAAGCCGTGTTTATACTGGACATGTTTTCATAAAATGCCGTTTTTAGTTTCTAAGTTCCTTTGATTATGCATAAAATAATTGACGAATCTTCGTAATATTCAAATATATATTTCCATATTTTTGTAAATGGCAGTGGTCAAAATCCATGAGATTTTTTGACGTCTTTCATGGGCCTACTGAACAACTTAAAACAAATACTTTGTTAATAACAACATCTGTCGGTTTCTGAATTGTAAGATGAACAATTCGCCTGGCTAGTTCATTTAGGAGGTAAGTTCCCAACTCGTTATTCTACAGCTCGCGCAGATGTTAAAATAAACGTTTTATGTCATTAAAGCCAAACCTTTATAAAAAGTAGAATCGATTTTAAATTATATTGCTCAAGGTGACTGTTTGTGACTCACTATCAGGTACAACTGTTCCAACCTCTAACCTACGACATTGATTGTACCCATAACTGACAATGTCCCTTTTATGCCCTACACCACAAGGTGGTCAGGGAATTATGTCTTTGTGCATTTGTTTGTAACAGGCAAAAGGAAACGAGATAGATCCATAGTTCCTTTTGTTGATCTGCATAGAATCACATTCTGGGTCGATTTATGCATGTCCGTCCGTCTGTCTGTAAATGCATTTTTGTAAACAAAGTGCAGGTCGCATTTATTGCCCGATTCAGATGAAATTTTGCACAAATAATTTGCTTGACCCAAGGGCGGACCCTATTGAAACTAGAGATAATCGGTCAAAATTTAGGCATAGCTCATTGTGCACCCACCTTGTAATATCAAATAGTGAGGAATGTTGCACGTACGACACGCTTGGACCTGAAAATAAATATGCCAAATTTGATCGAAATCGGTTCAGATATAGATATAGCTCCCAAATATATTGTTCATCCGATTTGATATTTCTGTCCTCCGCAGCCGTAATATGTAACAACGATATTTGGGGAAATATATCAAATATAACTCAGAAATACCCATGCTAAATTTTATCGAGATTGGTTTGGTTTGGTATTTGGATATATCCCCCATATAGATCTTCGTCCGATTTGCTTTTTATTGTGCACCATATGTGTTATATGAGTCCAATTGGAATGGAAATTGGAACTTACTACCAAATTGAGTCTAAAAACCGGTATGTCAAATTTGGTGCAAATCGGTTCAGATATAGCTATAGCTCCCATATATGTTGTTTATCCGATTTGTTGAATTTGCCCTGCATAGCCGTAATATGGACTCCGTAGTAACGATATTTGGGGAAATATATGAAATACAGCTCAGAAATGCTTTTGTCAAATTTTATCGAGATCAGTTCAGATTTAGATATATCTCTCATATATATCTATCCAATTTCAAGTTAATTGTGCACCAAATGGATAGTACAAGCCCGAATTGAAAATGCGCAAATGTCTTGACAAATTTTGTAGAAATCGATTCAGAGGAGGATATTCCTCTTAATTATTACTATAATCATATGTGGTATGATTTAAATCTCACAAAATCCCGATTAAAACTTTTATTTGTCATGTCAAGCTCTACTAAATGTGCAAAGTGGTGTAGGGTATCATAAAGTCGGCCCCGCCCGACTTTAAGACTTTCTTTACTGGTTTTCTGATAATTATCGCTGGATGGAGCAAATATAAACGAATTAATCTAAAAACAGCTGTTATTTTATTAGATGTAATGTCAAAATTCATGCTCGAGTCGAAAATAAAATTGTTCGCTTTCATAGAATATTTTTGTGGCTAATATGCTTGTTGTCAAGTTTTTTTTTTGACAACTGGATTGGAAAATGTATGTATAAAATTGCTGCTGCGACAATCTATTCAAAACAAGTCGAAAACGGAATTCTTCAATTATTGCCGATTTCAAATTGGACACGCAGTGATGTTTTGTTTGTATTGATTACAACAATTAAGTCCAATCATTATTGAGATAAGATTTTAGTGAACGAAGTCAGTTTAATGTTGAGTCGTACTGATGCTGTGGTCGCACATCAATAGTGCCACTATCTCGGGCAGTCAACAAAACCAGCAGCAGCCTGAAGCTACCACTGAAATCCTGATAAAGCTGGCGAGAAACCGTGGATTTGTAGTGAGGGTAATCGTGGTTTATGTGTCATGAACATTGCAGGTACCAATGCAAAGTAAAATTTTAATCTAAACAAGTAAAAAATATTAAGTTCGGCCGGGTCGAACTTTTCATAGCCGCCACCTTACGGTAAATAAAACATTTTTATAAAAAAGTATCTGAATTAAAACGTGCTCCACTTTAATCTACAAACTTATCAAAAAAACATAAAGTGAGTGAGGCCATTATATGGGGACATACCAAAACCGGAACCTCTACAGACAATTTCATTCTTCAAGGATTGTCATCTATAAAATCTTATAAAATATAAAATTTGAATATTTATGTGGGTAAATGTGACTAGGATTATCAATATACGGGTATAGTTATATGTGCGCTATAGGAAAACGTGGACCTAAATATTCAATGTTTCGCCACCGGAGCTAGAACTCGTTACAACCCACAAATTATAATTTTAAGACAATGTGGCAAAAATCATCAAAATACCGAATATGGGGAGGTACCCTTGTATGGGGGCTATACCAAAACGTAGGGCTATACATACAATGTTTCGCCACCGGAGCTAGAACTCGTTACAACCCACAAATTATAATTTTTAGACAATGTGGCAAAAATCATCAAAATACCGAATATCGGGAGGTACCCTTGTATGAGGGCTATACCAAAACGTGGGTCTATACATACAATGTTTCGCCACATGAGGAAACCCCCATTATGTCCCACAAATACCAATTTTTACACAAATCCGTGAAAAAATAGACAAAATACCGAATATCGAAAGGTGCCGTTATATGTGGACTATACCAAAATGTGGAGGTATATATCTCAATACCAACCATCATAGGCACAATACGTCAAATAATGTGGGCTGTATCGTGATTTCAACAGACAGACGGACAGAGAGACGGACAGACAGACATACGGACATCGTTAAATCGACTTAGAATTTTATGCTGATTATGAATACATATACTTTATGAATATTTAAGGATGTTACAAATGATGAATATTTACGGATGTTACGAACGGAATGACAAAAATTAATATACCCTGCTTTCCAAAGTGGAGGGTATAAAAATAAGACTTTCTTTGAAAGAATCTATAAAACGAAAAGTATACTACCGGCAAACAGTGCAAGTCTAATTAATTAAATGTACACATTTCTTATCTTCTCATTTCTATATTGACCAAAATAAACAGAAATCAAAAAGCCAAGATATAGGCCACGGGATGCGATGTGCAAAAAGTGTTTCTGAAAAGGGGATTTTTCTTAGTAGCCATTGAAAAGTACAAAGTAAACAAAAAATCTGAAAGATGGTACATTATATAAATCCCAACAGAATGGCACCCGGTCAGCAGTAAAGGTAAACGTGTGTCGGCGTAAACATCAGGACAAAGAAAATACTTTGGGAATATAAACTAATCAAATGGCAATAAAACCGGCCGGTTTAGTTTTTATTTGGATATTTTTAAGTTTCCGCAGCCATGGCATTCGCATGGAAGAGGCAAGTATGTTTGCACATTTTTTTATCTTCTATATATATAAAAATCAATTTTTGTTTGTTGGTATCGGAATCAGTTGGAAACGGCTGGGCCGATTTGCATAATTTTTTGTACAAACGTTCATCATACCCCGAGTCATACCCGAGTTAGAAAAAAAATTGACCACGCCTCCTTTTACGCCCACTATTACGATTTATCTAAAATCTTTATATTTGCCAAAATAGTGAAGATATCGGTTTGAGAATTATCCACGAGATGCTGTTGGCTTTCCATCCAACCCTAAGTACTTATTTAGGGGCTGAGGAATGCGTCTACTTTTAAATCTATCTCTCTATATGTAAAAGAAAGTTGTGTTTAGACAAATTCGGAATTGCCTCTTGGCAGAAAGGAATAAAATTCAAAAAAATCGCGTAAAAATGTGAAATATGAACATTTTCATTTTGACTTTTAAAATGTACAATAGTAATGTTTTATATTGCATATTTTTTTCCATTTTGACTTACTATTTTCGAATGTACATTTGTAGTGTTTTTTTCCTTTTTTGAATTCTAATATGATGTGTAGGTTTTTTTTGGGTAGTATAAAGCCACAACGGATAAAACTGTTATTTATAGATTTTATGTATTTATTCGTAATACCCAATAAATACATAAAATCTATAAATAACAATTTTATCCGTTGTCGCTTTATATGAAAATTCTAAAATCGGGGAAAATCGACAATTTTTCAATGGAATCGAATTTCAAAATAATAGTACATTCTACCGACAAACTTCGTAAGGACCTTTAGAAATTTGCCGCAAAAAAATTCAGCGAACCAGTTGAAGATTATTTTTCTTTTTTCTATATTGAAGTGTACATTTTTTTATTAGTTTGAATTCTGAATGAATCAGGGCTGCTTATTGTCGTTTTTGTAACCCAATGTTGGTTTCATTTGGTGTCATGAAACCAAGTTGGTTTTGTCAATTTCGAATGTAAATAAAACCAATGTTCGAAACAGCTGTTGTTGCTTACATGTGTTTTTTTGTCATTGAAATATCAGTAAAAGTAAAGTAAATAAAAAAGGAATAAGTCGCTATAAATAAAGTAAGATGGCATCAGCAGTGGTAGTTTTTGTGTTGTTGGACGAAGAACGCTCAAAAAAGGTGACGAGATAGCGTAAGTAAATTTTTTTATTGTGAACTTCCTCATAAAGCTGCTTTGCAGATTTATGGTCCTTTAAAAATTCTTTAAAAAATCCTTAAAAAAAATCTTTAAAAAATCCAAGTTTATAGTCCTTTAAAAATCTTTAAAAAAAATCCACGTTTATAGTCCTTTAAAAAATCTTAAAAAAAATCCACGTTTATAGTCCTTTAAAAAATCTTAAAAAAATCCACTTTTATAGACCTTTAAAAAATCTTTAAAAAATCCACGTTTATGGTCCTTTAAATATCCTTTAAAAATTTTTTTTTAAAAAAATCCACGTTTATGGTCCTTTAAATATCCTTTAAAAATTTTTTTTAAAAAAATCCGCGTTTATGGTCCTTTAAATATCCTTTAAAAATTATTTAAAAAATTCCACGTTTATGGTCCTTTAAATATCCTTTAA